AAGTGTGATGAACTCACTTTTCCAATACACGTACTGACGTTGAAAGTTTTAAACACAAATTTAACCACACAATTCCTCTCTCGGGCAAATAAAAAGAGTTTATTTTCATGTTTGTTGTCTCAAAATAAAATTGTTGCCGCCATTTCGAAATTTAATGTCGGGGGGTGACTGCCTCTAGTCACTTGCTAAGCTATGCGCAGTACGGTATGCGCAGTGACAAAGCCCTTACGCTTTTTTGACTGAAGTCGGACATCTGGTCACAGAGTATACAGAGGCGGAACTCGCGGCGATTCCTTTGTTCTTTGTGTCCCCGTGCAACGTCATTTCCACGCGCCACGCAAATTGCTCTGGCAAGTGTCATTCGTCGTGTTTTCAGTCAAAAGCATAGGAAAAACACCGTTCGAAAGTAGAAAAATAAATATTTTTGCGAAGTTGCTCCACCGATCTTCATTTTGGGACTCAAATTTGAAAGATAAATGGTAAGTGGTTATTTTTATGCAAAAAGATATACGTTTATAGGCTAAATACAAAGAAAAAAACAGTATAATCTTTGTACCGCATGGCCATATTTTACAATGCTTGTGATGTTCTGCCAAGAAGCAGATTCCCATCTCGCTAAATTAATGGCCAAACGTATTGCTTTCCTGTCTTTTACATTAATAAGAAAGCATGGTTGCTGATTTGAAACACTTCCATTGCACACTTCCATCAGGTTCCATGTAGCTTTGGGATTTGTGAGCAAAAATTAAAAGTTAAACTACCTATGTTTTTAATACTTTCTGTGCAACTGTTTTAATATTAAGCACATTCACAAATGTATTCTCCAGCAAAGAAATGTTTCTTTACGGATTGTTAATCCGCCTGCATTGCTTATGCCTTCAAAGGTCAGAGGTCTTGAACATGCAGAATAGCAGGGACTACTGTCATTGACATCCTTTGTCACAAAATTATGATGGCATATTGGACAGCTATGTTGGATAAGGCACTTGCTAAATAGTCTGACATATAAGTTAATGCAGACTAAGTTTTGTTCAATTTCATTTGTTTTGTAGTCGGTATCTTCAACTGCTTGGATTAGTGGAGGGCTTGCATGTCTAATCATTTCCTGCAGATAAATCAGATTGGCTAGAGTGAAATGCAATCAAATAGTCAAATAGGCATCAGAATCATCAGCACAGTTGGCAGATGAAAGCGGTGTCAAAATATTATCTACAAATAATTTGCAAAATGCTCTGGTGAACTGGATGGGACTAATGGGTTGTCACAATCCCCCCCTGCTGCCTAATGAGGCCAAAGAAGTTCTCCAGAGGATCTTGGTTGAGACGTCTTGTCATGAGAAACTCCAAGGAATGATGTTGGTTGAGGTCTTGTAATATGTAAATACTACTGTATAATTACTACTGACAGTGTAAATACTACAGTGAAATGTAAATACTACAGTGTAATTGGGGTTTAAAAATACAAAGTTTATTTTAATAAATGTTGTTTATTTTATTTCACATTTATATACATTTAAGAACTTAAATTATTCAAAAACTAAATAAATATGTGTTCAATGTCAATGAATATTGCTATATTCTAAATTTCTTATTCCAAAATAGGCAATAACTGTTTCCTTTATAGTTGACCCCACATGCTGTCATGGAAATTAATACTAAATAAAAAAAGTAGCCAATGATCCATGTTTCCTCCTACAGTCTTTGCTTTATATAAAAAGTTACATACTATGAATAATTGCATTGTTCCTTTCATTGATAAATAGTTTAGAGAAAGTATTCCCAATTAATCCTTTCCCTGTTAAAGTGTGCTCTCCCCTTGACGAGTAAAATCGTCTGGCGTTAGACAGAGTAAAATAATAAAGTAGGGTGCATCAGGGCACAATGTAACTCAATAGGTTAACTGGATCGTCTGGTGTTAGACAATAGACAGAGTAAAATAATAAAGTAGGGCGCAAAGTGACTCAATGGGTTAACAAGTAAAATTGTCTAGCTTTACTGCAGTACATCTTCCAAGGGGGGCTGGATTGGGGAGCAGGCCTACCATGCACTTTTACATGGGGGGGGGGTGCTTTTTTAACCCTCCATTACAGTAAACTATTACAGTAATCTGAAGGCCTGTTTATTAGGCCGTCGTTCTCGTCTAGGAGGATGGCTAAATGGCGTGGGTGGGTGGGTCGTGCGTCGTGGGTCGTGGGTCGTGCGTCGTGCGTCGTGGGTCGTGCGTCGTGGGTCGTGGGTCGTGCGTCGTGCGTCGTGGGTACGGTGTTGGGCGTCGTATAGCCAATGAAAATATTTTTTAAGACGGATAGAGGGCAGACGGACAGACGGATGGATGAGAGGGTAAAAAACGGACGGACAGAAGGGTAAAATGCGGACGGATGAGAGGGTAAAATGCGAACGGACGGCGGGAGGGTAAAATGCGAATATGAAGGCATATAGAGTGGTGTATTTGTATTTTTCATGTAGACTAAAATCCCAACCTTTGCAACTTTCATGCTTATTTTTCTTTGTTATCCGGTGTGTAGTAATTTAATTTTATGCCACTATAATGTGCTGTTTTTCAAGGGCATTTTAATGCAGTTATCGGTCCTAAAAGTAACATTCCCGTTGAGATATGACAATTTCAGTACGGCCTACTTTTACGCAAACGCGAATTACAATGGCGACATTTATGCTTAATTTTCTCTGTTATCTGTGCATGTAGTAATCCTATTTTATGTTACTATAATGTGCTGTTTTTCCAGGGCTTTTCAATGCTGTTATCGGTTTAAATATACCTAAAATGCCCGTTGAGATATGACAATTTCAGTACGGTCTACTTTTACGCAAACGCGAATTACAATGGCAACATTCATGCTTAATTTTCTCTGTTATCTGTGCATGTAGTAATCCTATTTTATGCTAGTATAATGTGCTGTTTTTCCAGGGCTTTTCAATGCTGTTATCGGTTTAAATATACCTAAAATGCCCGTTGAGATATCACAATTTCAGTACGGCCTACTTTTACGCAAACGCGAATTACAATGGCAACATTCATGCTTAATTTTCTCTGGTATCTGTGCATGTAGTAATCCAATTTTATGCTACTATAATGTGCTGTTTTTCCAGGGCTTTTCAATGCAGTTATCCGTTTAAATACCTAAAGTTTTGACGAGCTAGTATACCCATGGGCGGTACGGAAGGAAAAAATTAGGGGAGCGGAAAGAAATTTGCCCGACTTTTTCGGATTGTGCCCGACTAATGCCGAAAATTTTTTTCCGGAACAATTAATTTTGGCGACCTCCCCCACAACCCCCTCCCCCCCGTCGCCAAAAAAATTTCGGTCAGTGTACCATTTTAGGGGTCCAAAAATTTTTCGGACATACCAAAATTTTTCAGAACATCAAACAAATTTTCCAAACAGCACAAAATTTACAGAATTTTTCACAAAATTGCCCAACTGGCCTTGTTTGCCCAACAAACAGGCCGCCCCCCCCCCCCGCCCGGTGCGCCCATGATTATATTACATCAACCACGGGTTTCGAATTGATTTTTTCAAGCACATGCAACAGTGGAAGTTTTTATAGTTTTTCAATATTAAATATTTTATACTTATTAACTAAAGTTATTATTAAGAGAGATTTGCTTTGACTACTTTTTTGGCTTTTTAATTTCCCACTTTTCGCCCGACTTATGTTGAACATTTGCCCGACTTCTCGACTTTGTAATCTTTGGGGGGGGCAGCTGCCCCCCACCCCTGCCCCCCGTCCCGTACGCCTATGAGTATACCACCCAGATAACAGATAAAATTAAGCATGGAAGTTGCAATTGTAATTCACGTTTGCGTAAAAGTAGACTGTACGGTTTTCAAAAAAATGGAAACCATTTAGATCGGTATTTTAATAAATTGTCAAAATAATTGAGTATACTAAAACAAATAATTTTATGAAATAAAAATTGGGGGTAGGCTGTTGCGGTATTTGAAAAAAAACGAAAACCGATACCGGAAAAAAATACCGATAATACTGATATATCGATATTTTTCGCGATTGTATTTTGCTTAATTTTATGCAAAATTTGCTTAATTTTATGCAAAATTTGCTGTTTTCAAATGATGCCAAACAGCCACGATATAACAGCTTTGACTCATCAGATGCATGATATTTTCAATAAAATGTCAATGAAAAGTGAAAATGCATATTAGGCCCGGTTTAGACGGCGAACTTCTCATGCGCCGAATCTAATTGTCGTAGATACGGCAAAATATCGGAAACTGATTTAGACGTCGAACTTAATTGCACCGTACCAAATTGCGAAGACGTTATATTGGAAATATTTACAATGCAAATATATGATAATCATATTATGATGTTAAAAAATAATTATGCATTAGGTTCGGCGCATGAAAAGCACGGCGTCTAAATCAATGTCGAACCTGTGTCGCATATACGACTTGTCCTGTCGCATCTTCGAGTCGTGTCGAACTTAATCAAAACCTGCCGAACTTAATTGATTTAGACGCCGCTCCAACGTCTCACTTAATCCTTGCATTAGATTCGGCGCATGAAAAGTTCGCCGTCTAAACCACAGGGGGTCCAACTAAGAGCTGTGTTATGAATATGAATAAAACATTAATTAAACGTAATATGAATAAAACATCATAACGTAATATATTTAAATTATTGCACTTACTTGTATAAATCATAAGAGCTTGTATTTGCAGTGAATAGCTTTTAACAAGGCGCTTATACACGCTCAGAAAATCGCTCAGAAACATTTTGATTCGAACGATTGTTCAAATATGGCGAATAAATTGACAAAACGAAAATATTACATGACGTTCCAACGAAAGTAACAGCAAGGATTGCGGGTGCGCGAGCAAGCGAAAAGGCGAGGGAAGAAATAAATAGAAGGGATGAAACAAATATCACGTGACTTTTTAAAATGCTTCTAGACTACCCGTTTAAGCTTTTTGTGGGGTTTTTAAGGCTCAGTCGATGTTCTCTTACATGAACAAGCCTAGTCATTACCAAAAAAGCACTGATCAATCTAATTTATGTGATTTATAACAGCGAGCATTCTTGGCCATTATCGCGAGATGTGTTCCATAAGTAGCCTGTTCTCGTGACGTATGACGAAATAATAATAAAACTAGGAGTTACTATCGCAAGGAAAATGCTGCCGATATGTACATGTAGGATGTGCTACAAAAAGAGCGTTTTTCACTGTATGTATGATTTATTGTCTTACACATCGTCGTTCCTCAGTCACCTTCGTACAATTATATCTTACATCTAATCTTATGAAAAGTATCTTTTAATATACTAATAACAGTGCGACTTTGATAGTTGACACATAATACAAATGATAAAATGTGAATATTATTGAATGATTTTGTCACTCGTACAACTTTTAATTTGGCTATTCAAACAATTGATTTAAAATAGTTGAATTTATACTTGATGGGATGTTATTGCTTATTGGGATGTTGAAATTATGTTTGTTTTAAATACATTTAATTGATATTCCATAAATTCATTTTGTATGATTTCATTGACCTTGACATTGTTCAAAATCATTTTGTATTGTATTGAAACTGTATGTCTATGACCTATGTTATGTACTATATTAACCCATTGAGTCGCATTGCACCCTGATGCACCCTACTTTGAACAGTATTTTACTCTGTCTAACGCCAGACGATTTTACTCGTCAAGGGGAGAGTGCTGGCGCTTAATGGGTTAACTGATCTATCTGCCCATGTGTCTAGTTAACCCATTGGGTCGCATTGCACCCTGATGCACCCTACTTTGAACAGTATTTTACTCTGTCTAACGCCAGACGATTTTACTTGTCAAGGGGAGAGTGCTGGCGCTTAATTGGTTAACTGATCTATCTGCCCATGTGTCTAGTTAAC